GATGAGACAAGACTTGAGAGCTGATGCATTAGGTTTGTTAAATACGAGGGAGGAGTCATTCAAGATCTGCGGATTTATCTCCCTTGTTCAACAGAAACCTCTACTGTGTGGTCTGATCAGTGTGTTGCGATCTGGTCAGTGTTTGGTTGTTGTTTAACGCCACACTCAGCAATATTCCAGCTATATGGCAGCAGTCTGTAAAACCAGCGATCAACGCCATGAGCATCGACCTACGCAAATGGGATAAGATGACATGCGTTAACCAAGTCAGCAAACCTGGCCATCCGATCCCGTTAGTCGCCCAAGCATGAGTTGCTGATTTTCAGTTCTAACCCGGATCTTCTCTTACGGCAAGTATGGATTGCTGAAGACCAATTGTAACGGGTCTTCACGGGTCTTTTGATGCTATACAGTCAATACAATGATGTTCTTCAATACACCAGTTTCACAAGAGTCCATCCAAAAGCTTCAACGAATCCAGAACACAGCTGCCCGCATAGTTACTCTCCAACCAAAACACTGCCACATCACTCCCATCCTGATGTCTCTTCACTGGATGCCTATTGAAGCTCGCATTGACTATAAGTTCCTTACACTTGCTTATCAGTCCAGTCATGGTATTGCACCCCTGTATCTTCAAGAACTCCTCTCTCCTTACATGCCAACAAGAACTCTGCGTTCATCCTCGGCTAATCTGTTCTGTGTACCAAAGTGGAACCTCAAATCACTTGGCTGCAAGTCTTACCAGAACATGGCATCAGTCAAATGGAATTCCGTCCCTGATGAACTTAAGCTGTCTCCAACCCTTGAAAACTTTAAGTGTCATCTCAAAACCTTTCTTTACAAAAAGTTCTATGGACTTCAATAATGCCTTATTGATTGTTAGCGCTATGAGCATACCTGGTGTGGAGTTTGGCGCTTTATAAATGGACACATTGTTATTATTATTACCAGCTTCTTATACAAAGAGGTAATCTTTCATCTTTCTTTATGTTAGAAAAGGGATGTTGACAGGGCGGCCCATTGTCACCCTACCTGTAGGGTATTATGATAACGCAAATATTGCGGATAATACATTACAGAACAGATGACACAATTGTATGGATGATCAACTTCTTTATTTTGACAATGGCGACGTTTAGGTATGGCTTCTTGTACTGTTTTCAAGCATATGGGTTGATGATGGGGGACACCAGTTTATATACAAGATCCATGTACATATTATAAAGAGATAACAATAACAAGGGTGGGAAACAAAGCATCAAAGAAGGTTACACGATGAGCTACAATAGTATGATGATGAGCTGAGGATAACAAAATGAGAATTCAATGCCACTCAAACAAATACATTACGGAACATACAATAGATATTGGGACAACATGCTGGTGATACACAGCTATTGTAAAAGGATGTGAAACTAGCCGTAATGCTGCTACTGGAACACTAAATAACATGTTCAAGTTGTCTGACAGTGGACAACTAGCAGGCTGGGATTTGAAACTGTAGGTGTCCCACCTAATGTATCTTTACAATATCTCTTGTTGGTCGATGTGAGGTAATGCTTAACTAGTATCAACAGAATAGTAGCTAGTTAAGGCAGAAGAAGTTTAACTTTTGGTCACAAGTTGAAAGATTTATCAACATTCACCTATAAATATTGGTCTGGAACTGACTTGAAGTGTGTTGTTATGTTTTCAGTCCATATAACCATGAAGTGTGCCATATCCTGCTGGCAGAAAGATTGATCTATGCATCAAATGTTCAACAACAAAAACGGTCTAATGGTCTATTTATCATGATGTTAAGTAATATTTGTAGAACTTAAATATATAAAAATTGCAAAAACTACAACAACAGTACTCATTGTTTTACCAGTGAATGGAAACAGTTAATTTCAACACGTAACCATAGCAATTGAAGCGCACATAAAATATCCATCTCCGATTGACCAACACCGTAAGCAAGTCCGTCCTATCTTACAACAACCAGGGAGACTATATAAGGTTGTAGAGTATTCTTACAACAACCAACTTTGTGATTATGATGACCGTTTACCTATAGTTATATTGGCTTTGTGTGGGTGCTTTGAAATGGATTAAAGATGTATTAAGACAACAACTGAGAATCCTATAGAGGCACTGGAAATAATCTTGGTGAATATATAGTTTGGATCATGCTGATCTGAACAGTATTGAACACTCCACATGCTCACTTATTCCGAGGAAATATCCATTTATTAAGATGTATGAACCCCGCTGTGTACTGAATCCTAGTGGAATGACACAAAATGACCAATAGTCTGAGCTGGAGCAAATTTGACAACCAACCCGAGAGACAAATAACCAAGATGATTTTCAGCTAGTCTGAGGTCTCTACTGTATGATATATTGTGATGGACATTTCAGACACCCAGCTTAATTTGATTTTGATGATGTGGTACATTTCCAAGATGGCCACCATGTTGTCTATGGGTTTTGGAAATAAGCTTCTAAAGCAGAATGTATTCATTTCAGACATCTTTAATTAACTGATATCTCTTCAGCACTATATTCACACATTCTGTTATGTTTTTGTGTATATCAATAAGATGAAATTATTATGTTAATGTTAAAATAATGTGCAGAAATGATACTTTTCCATATTTGTTCAATCAAGTGCTGTGTTGTTTAATAATGGCCACCCTATGATAAGTACTTCCTGTGGTTCCTGTGGACCCTCTAATCCTGTATGTGCCGGATCAATGCTCATGGTATCGACCACTGGTTTCCCTTGATCCACCTATCAGACCATAGTGATCATGCTCAGAATGTGTCATCCTTCTTGGGTATAAAACAGTTCACACACATCATATAATATATTCTCCATAGATCAGTGGCAGTAGTCACTATTCTGTCAGTTGGCAAGGAACACAAAACACAAATAAATATGTACATTATTTATTTCTTTTGGAAAGTTTGACATATAGACTTAAGAAGTCAGAATGGCTTGCAAAACAATTCTTCAAATGTAAACTGTTTCTGCGACAGTTCAATGAGAGAGTGGTGAATGTACTTCCAGCTAACTGAGTCCTTGGGTAAAGTTTAAAAGTTCAAAATATTCATTGTCTGCATTTGGTAACTCCTAGCATCTATAATGAACAATTGCACAGTTCTAATTCTAAAAACAACAACCCCTCTAAATATTTATGAAAAGCTTCAAAATAAATCATGAAATAAGATGCCATTTAATGGTCACTGATCCAAGAAATTCATGCCAATTCATGAATTTGGTTGTACATTGTTTCCAGAGGCTAATCTACACAAAACTCAGAATATGCAAACACAAGTACAATTGTAATTTTATGTTAGCAGATATCTCCATAAAAAAACTGATTGCCATTTGATGCAGACACCCCTGCCTACAATACATCTCCTCATCAAAGTCAACAATATCAAGTCCTTTGTTCCTCATCCTGTACATAGCTGTTGTCATCTGTCAATCAGCTGGAGCTGTAACATTTCATTTATACAAGTGGAGGACAATTCTGTTGGCACAAAGTTCCTCCCATTAAACATGTAAATGAGAAACAAAAGTTTGCTAAGGCCTTGTATATTTCCAATCTAGGTTTGTATGAAATATGATGGTATATGGATTTGTGTGAAGGATTTGAGCAGACTAATACTGAGTATGTGGCCATGCTATGTACAGACGTGAGCAACACACGAGATCATTTACATGCTTCCAGATTAAAACACAATTATTTCATGTTTATTTGTGTTAAGTTATTTTTAAACAATTGAGCCTTGTCTCTTTTTTTCCTTACTACCAACAGCTGATATTAAAGTTGGCTGTCGTTTTGGCAATCCATGTATAATGTCAGTTTCTGTGAGCTCCGCCAATGATCACGTGGTTACAACATCGTTAGATCAACAAAATGTCTTGGACATACAGAAATCTGTCATTTCTACATAAGGCAGTAGACTGTGCTATTCTAATTTCCAGATACATTTGAGGATTTTTTAATTTGATTCCACACCAGGAAGTGTTGAAATCATCTCTTCATTTGCACAGAACAAATATATGTAGGGGATTAGTGGACAAAGATAAACACTTCCACATCTACAAGTATGGCATCACACTGACGCCCTGTAGACTCGGCAACTTGTATGTGACATTCACCCTGTCACTGGCTCCCTCAGTGCTGCATGTTTGCATCAGTGACTATTTGGCAGGATCTCTATCCTAAATAGTTTAGTGTTAAACACCACAACCAGCATTATTCCAGCTATATGGCAGTGACTTGTACATTACAGCCATACCAGTGGTTGATGTAATGAGCATTGATCTATGCTGTCTGGATACGATGACAGTTACTTAGTCTGACCATGTGACCCATGACGTCTTACATGACAAGCGAAGTTGCCAGGGACCTTGACCTTGACAACAACAGTCTTTTCCCCATGAATGAGACCCGCAGAATTGATCAAGGTGAGTGGGCCATGAATCAGCTGGAGGGTGGACCAGCTGGAGAGAGTGTAGTCATGGAATTTAGACAAGGTCACAGATGAATGCTTCAACACCATGGCTACACCAAGGCCTAGATTTTCGAAGCTCTCTTAGCTCTAAGATAGTCGTAAGTTAATGTTAATGAATGGCACTTCCGACTATCTTAGCGCTAAGAGAGCTTCGAAAATCTACGCCCAGGAACTTAACATATTGGCAGTCATGACCTACTGACTCTTGATCAGTAATGTATGTTTGAGGAACAGGTGGGGTTGTGAGTGGTGAACGTTGGTTGACACAGGCCCAGCCTGTCATGATGAACCCCAGGAAGACAATCATGGCCCTGATCAGTTATTGCTTTACATTACCCAGCAGTCAGTCCTGTACAATCAGTCCAGTCAGCTCGGAATCAGTCTGACTAGGAAGTAATTATACCTTTATTCTTCATTGCATTGATACTTGTTTATAGATGATCGGGACGTATTTTACAAAAGCTAAATAAAATGCATACAAAAACAGGAAGGTTAAACATAAACCTAAAATAACAAATGCAACATTATAATGTGTGGAACAGTCTGGATCCACTGGTCAGTGTTACACATGCAATGTATTCAGTGAGAAAATAATAAACATTCAAATTAAGGAATTCAGCCAGAATGATGAATGCGATCAACCACCAACAGCAGCAGAAGCAGCAGCAAGGCGGAGTCTATAGTACACAGCTTGAGTTCAGCATGTATATTGTGATGCTGTAAGCTGACGGGATGAAGATGTGGCATGTTAAACTATACTCATAAACACATAAAAAACACTGTATATTTATAGATGGGATTTCACACTGATGAGGGCAGTAAAGTTTGCAGATGATTTAACATTCAACATGCCATTTGTCCCAGTAATTACGTTTAGAAATATAATTTTTTTTTAGTGGGGTGTTCTAGAAAAAATAGTTTATCTCATATTTTACGCAAGGACAATACAACTGTTCGACTCTCCTTTGAGATAAAATGAGTTTGTTTTGAATCAATTCTATCCAGTGTCAAACAAAACTCTTCCCCCATCACCAGTATTACTAGGTTGTCACTTGAGGCCCATAGACATCTCTAGGCAGCTGTGTGTCTTGCAATGCCCAAAGCTCTTATTTCTTCAACATCTTCGATACACAATAAACAGGTAGCACATTAAACCAGTCACTGAAAATACTTGCCTTGACCATTAAACCAGTCAGAAGAACATTTGCCAGCCTTGACCTACAAGTTACAGAAGCTCACATATACACAGGCATTTCTGTATAGCTTGTTGGCTGCCCGGCATCTGACCTCATGCACACTTAGCAACAGGGGAGACAACCTAGGTTGACACCAGCAGACCATGGATGATAATAGTGACATATCATATACTTATGTTTATAAAACTAAAGTAACAACTGCTTAAGAAAATATAATAATATCAATATACACAATAACCAAACTCCTATAACTGATTTTTAATCCCAAAAGTAATTATTTCTTACTCAAATAAAAACTCAGTCAGTTTTATCTGAATCCAACAATGCACGTTATTTAGCCATGCAGACTTTCACAGCAGACTTTCACATTTGTGAACTTTCACTTATCAGTGGAGCAACACACCAATCAGTGTAGCAACACACCAATCAGTGGAGCAACACACCAATCAGTGGAGCAACACACCAATCAGTGGAGCAACACACCACAGTGGAGCAACACACCAATCAGTGGAGCAACACACCAATCAGTTGCACTGCTGATTCCTGCAAACCTTGTGTGAAGATGAAATACACAATGCGGTCTAGGCGTCTGACTTTGTGTGCTGGCGATTAGGTGCCTGACTCTGAGGGTGTGGGTTCGAATCCCGGATGGGACTCAACCCAACAAAAGTACTAGAATCTGTACTTTACAAAGAAAGTGTAATCCCAAATATAACATATGTTACTTGTGTGAAGATGAAGTGTAATCCCAAATATAACATATGTTACTTGTGTGAAGAAAACACTATTACCAGAGTATTCTGACGGAGATGACTACAACCCAGCAGTTTCATGTCCCTTACAACCATGGCCTGCAGTACTGCCGACACCAGCTGCCCTTCACAACTGTGGAAGTATATAGACTGTACAGTAAGTTTACATTGCACACATCTGAAGTAGTCTGACTATTAGTTCCACACAAAGCACACCCTTGATTACCTCCCCTTCTCCCTGTCTGTAGAGAAGAGGATTCAGGATTGACTGTCGCACACACTCAGATACTCACTGTCAGGTAGTGGCAGCTAGAATAGATAAACAAGAATACCTCGAAAGCTTTTACTAAGTTCCTGGTCTACATGAACTTTAGTAAAACATCTTCTGTATTACAGAGGTGTGAACACAATGACATTGAGAGATACTGTCTCTACACATCAAGATAAACTGACGTTTGTATCACTTGCAAGTACATATTCAGAACTGTCACAAGACACGGTATTCTTCTCTTCAGGTTGATTGGAGTTCGAAACAAACATAGACCATTTAAATATGTAACAATTCCATCCAAATTACGTTTTAGTGGTAAACACATGTTTACTGTCACAGCAAATTAGATTTTTTAATTATTGAAGAAAAAACATAACTTCTCAATACACCTATATGATTCTAAAAATGTAATTATGATTGATCTTACAAATAACCATCAAATGTTGATGTTTTAATAGCATTAAAAATTGTGTTTCTTCTTGCAAAACATTTACATTGGAATACATGAAAAATAAAAAAACATAATTGTATTTTCTCATTTTTTCGGCAGATATACACTTTCATTTGTAAAGCCCGCTGACTGAAGTACATGAAACACCCTGTCAGTATACACAACATGTAGGACAACGATCCTGCCTCCTTCATAAGCTCTATCTGTCAACATCTCATCACACTTTAACAAACTAAAACAATACAGAATCTGTACAGCATAAAATAGGCAACAGCAAAATGGAAAACAACAGATTTGTCAATCATACTGAGATCTACGATATAATCTTCTTCAACACGTAATATGCCATCGCAGTGATGCGAGGCTCTCCTCTATACAGCGGGTGGGTAGCTATCATATGTACAACTGTCTGCCACTGATAGATATATCTCACATCACCGCCCTTGGGACATATCAGTGTACAACTGCATGGCAGTCGCTGTCTCGTATATCCTTGCTTACAGGAGCCTGTGGTGGGATATATACCATTCAAAGAAGTAGGAGATATTGGATTTACAAGATTGATAAATGCAAATGATGAAGCCAAGGAGGAAACAGATGATGAAGAGAAATTAAGGGAAAATGTGACAATTTATTCCATTCCTTTGGAAATGTTTCATCTGTATGATATATATTACTTTTTCTCATATGCATTGGCATTGACTAGTTGTATGCTCACAACATGGAATATCCCCTACTTTTTTTTGAATGGTATATCATGTACAGATGCCTACTGCAGGATATATTGTTATGTACAACTGATATATGGCATACACCACACTGGACACCGGTCACTATATTGTTTAGAGAGGCACTGACGACCAATGTCCAGATATAATATATATATATATACCATCTGTTAATAACATATTGTATAATGGCATTATAACACCTATAGAGCCTCTGACAATAATGGCTGATTCATCAGCTGACATCACAACTTGGACCACGTTGGCACCCATCCTCACACTGCTGTCCAGAGAGGCTACAGCAGATAAGAGGCTACGACAACTACCCATCTTGAAGAGTGAGCAATCTTAAAGGAGGGGGGGGGACAATCAGACTTCACACAATGTGTTTATGTGGGGAAGAGAACCCGGGTCAGAGAGATTTATCCCCATCAAACTGCAGCAGATTAACTCACTCATACTTAAGAAAGTTATAAAATACAGTTAGTCATCTCTACCAATATCACTTTAACTATTGAGAAAGGTTATTGTGTTGGCTCTTGACCACTGTCAATTACTAAAACAGTATTTGTCTAACATGTCTAAAATGTGAAGCATATTGACGGCATATTGTGCTCAGTAGACACGAAAGGCACTGTCGTCGGACGTTGCATAAACACGGGAGACGCAGCCCAGGTTGACCACATCGTACAGCACACACTGAACGTGGTGCACTGGCCCAAATGTCAAAGTCACACTAGAAAAATAGGTGCATAAAATATATATTCATAACATACTTTGATGCTTTAATACAAGCAAAATGCATATATCCATTAGAAGACAGCCTGAACAGGCCAATATACAAGCTGAAGTTTGTATAATCCCACCATTAAACACTGCACTACAGCAGGTGATTTATACACAAGTAAACTGCCGTAATGCAGGGTATGATGTGAAGCGTGTTAATACAGCAAATATCACACACCATTGTTGGAAACAGCTGCCTGCCCGGTGCAAGTGGCGATACCTGGACTCACGACCCCATTCAGTCTCTACATACACATCTAGTTCATATCATGAATCATACAATTACAATATTGATTTCGATTATTGATGCTGCCATTACATTTAGCATTCAGTGTTTTTACCTACACAATGCTTCAATTGGTGGCGCATCGTCCAATAATGGCTTGTGATTTATGGGATTGCATTGTAGAAAGATTACGAGTCCAAATGTCTAGTAATCTTGGGGATGGCACTGTTGATGAGCTACTAGTCAATAATGGTTAGTTACATGTGCAAGATATTAAGCTAAAGGGAGTACAATTATGCCTTGTAGTCAACACACTGGTGTCCTGAGATCTTCCAGAGAAGCTATTCCTGGAACTGAACCCATCTTCTATATGAGACTGCATCACACCCGTACTTCTGCTGGAAACCTGCAGAACCTGTCCATGAAACTCAACACAGTCGATGCTTTCAGACCTATGTGTCTGTCCAGTCACATGTCCATTGTAAAACTAGATTTCATCTTTCATATGGGTCCTTGCTGAATGTTTATTTCACACCATGTACTCAAGTACATGTGAATTACATACAAATCAGTACAATGTTTGTTCCTCTTGAAGGGAAGAGGTTACTGAAAGTCTTGCTTCAGAAGCAGTTTCTGGAGTAACCATCCCTTCAAGACACTTCCTGTTTGAAATGGGCCGCAACACTGCTTGACAGCTTGTACGAATCCTGCATGTTAGCCATTGGGGGTGATGGAACGGGAGTGTCTGGCCCGTGGCCATTAGGAATGTGTTCCATTGTGTGGTTGACAGTAAGGGGGAGGGGTTCTGTCATCCCGAGAACCCTCTGTGGGGAGGGGGCCTGGTCTGACCCCCCACTCATGTAGTGGTGCTCCAAGCCAGGGGCCATGGGACTCGTGCTTCCTGGGTGTGAGGCCGTCAGGTGGTCTGGTTCCAGGGTATGCGTCAGGTTTATCTGTTCACCACCAGGTGGCACCACATTGCCGAGGGCATCGGGGTAGACCGTGGGTTCGATCAGTGGGGGTGAGATGCTGGACTCAGCAGCTTGAGCAGATGAGGAGGAGGAATCCCCCGTGTTGGCACCTGCAGCAACACAAGAACATGGTGGAATACACATCAATATATCACAATACATCACTAGTTCCCTCTCAGTGTTTCACCACATCACATAACCTTAGTCCATGAGTTACGCTTTGTCTTCCACCAACTCACCTCCCAGAAGCATCTCTTCCACAGACTTACATCTGACCGGTTTCTGGTCATCAAATCACCTCCCAGAAGCATCTCTTCCACAGACTTACATCTGACCCGTCTCTAGCCATCAACTCACCTCCCAGAAGCATCTCTTCCACAGACTTACATCTGACCCGTCTCTGGTCATCAACTCACCTCCCAGAAGCATCTCTTCCACAGACTTACATCTGACCAGTCTCTGGTCATCAACTCACCTCCCAGAAGCATCTCTTCCACAGACTTACATCTGACCAGTCTCTAGTCATCAACTCACCTCCCAGAAGCATCTCTTCCACAGACTTACATCTGACCGGTCTCTGGTCATCAACTCACCTCCCAACCGGTCTCTAGCATCTCTTCCACAGACTTACATCTGACCGGTCTCTGGCCATCAACTCACCTCCCAGAAGCATCTCTTCCACAGACTTACATCTGACCGGTCTCTAGTCATCAACTCACAACTCCCCCAGAAGCATCTCTTCCACAGACTTACATCTGACCGGTCTCTGGTCATCAACTCACCTCCCAGAAGCATCTCTTCCACAGACTTACATCTGACCGATCTAGGCATCTCTTCCACAGACTTACATCTGGCCATCATCAACTCACCTCCCAGAAGCATCTCTTCCACAGACTTACATCTGACCAGTCTCTAGTCATCAACTCACCTCCCAGAAGCATCTCTTCCACAGACTTACATCTGACCGGTCTCTAGTCATCAACTCACCTCCCAGAAGCATCTCTTCCACAGACTTACATCTGACCGGTCTCTAGTCATCAACTCACCTCCCAGAAGCATCTCTTCCACAGACTTACATCTGACCGGATCTAGTCATCAACTCACCTCCCAGAAGCATCTCTTCCAGCAGATCTTACATCAACTCCCAACAGCATCTCTTCCACAGACTTACATCTGACCAGTCTCTAGTCATCAACTCACCTCCCAACAGCATCTCTTCCACAGACTTACATCTGACCGGTCCTAGTCAGTCACTCACCTCCCACATCTCCACAGACTTACATCTCTTCCACAGACTTACCTCCCAGATCTGACCAGATCCAGTCATCAACTCACCTCCCAGAAGCATCTCCTGCAGGAGGTTGTCTATCTTGGCCATCCCAAAGAGTTTGGCAAACTGGATCTGTTCAATCATCTGCCATGTGATGCTCTGCAATGCTGGAAGAAGCAGCAGGATCTCCCCGAAGCGCCCTCTGGAGTCATACTGGCGGTCGTTGATGTAGTCCTCCAGGTTGACTTGCACCTGGTAGCGGAAGGCTTTAATCTTTTGCTGGTCTGTAAGTCCCTTGGCATCTGAAGGGCAGGAGAAGAAGTAATAGCACTTGTTTCAGACAGCATGCACTGTACTGAACATCAATGTGTCAATATGCAGGAGGGAGGGAATGTGTCAAACATGTAGGATGTAGGGATTGTGTCAAACAGTCAGGAGGGAGGGAATGTGTCAAACATGTAGGATGTAGGGATTGTGTCAAACAGTCAGGAGGGAGGGAATGTGTCAAACATGTAGGAGGGAGGGATTGTGTCAAACATGCAGGAGGGAGGGATTGTGTCAAACATGCAGGAGGGAGGGATTGTGTCAAACAAGCAGGAGGGAGGGATTGTGTCAAACATGCAGGAGGGAGGGATTGTGTCAAACAAGCAGGAGGGAGGGATTGTGTCAAACATGCAGGAGGGAGGGATTGTGTCAAACATGCAGGAGGGAGGGATTGTGTCAAACATGCAGGAGGGAGGGAGGGAGGGATTGTGTCAAACAAGCAGGAGGGAGGGATTGTGTCAAACAAGCAGGAGGGAGGGATTGTGTCAAACAAGCAGGAGGGAGGGATTGTGTCAAACATGCAGGAGGGAGGGATTGTCAAACAAGCAGGAGGGAGGGATTGTGTCAAACATGCAGGAGGGAGGGATTGTGTCAAACAAGCAGGAGGGAGGGATTGTGTCAAACAAGCAGGAGGGAGGGATTGTGTCAAACAAGCAGGAGGGAGGGATTGTGTCAAACATGCAGGAGGGAGGGATTGTGTCAAACAAGCAGGAGGGAGGGATTGTGTCAAACATGCAGGAGGGAGGGATTGTGTCAAACATGCAGGAGGGAGGGATTGTGTCAAACAAGCAGGAGGGAGGGATTGTGTCAAACATGCAGGAGGGAGGGATTGTGTCAAACAAGCAGGAGGGAGGGATTGTGTCAAACATGCAGGAGGGAGGGATTGTGTCAAACATGCAGGAGGGAGGGATTGTGTCAAACAAGCAGGAGGGAGGGATTGTGTCAAACATGCAGGAGGGAGGGATTGTGTCAAACATGCAGGAGGGAGGGATTGTGTCAAACATGCAGGAGGGAGGGATTGTGTCAAACATGCAGGAGGGAGGGATTGTGTCAAACAAGCAGGAGGGAGGGATTGTGTCAAACATGCAGGAGGGAGGGATTGTGTCAAACATGCAGGAGGGAGGGATTGTGTCAAACATGCAGGAGGGAGGGATTGTGTCAAACATGCAGGAGGGAGGGATTGTGTCAAACAAGCAGGAGGGAGGGATTGTGTCAAACATGCAGGAGGGAGGGATTGTGTCAAACATGCAGGAGGGAGGGATATCAAAAGAAACAAGCAGGAGGGAGGGATTGTGTCAAACATGCAGGAGGGAGGATTGTGTCAAACAAGCAGGAGGGAGGGAATGTATCAAACATGCAGGAGGGAGGGATTGTGTCAAACATGGAGGGAGGATTGTGTCAAACATGCAGGAGGGAGGTATGTGTCAAACAAGCAGGAGGGAGGGATTGTAATCAAACAAGCAGGAGGGAGGGATTGTGTCAAACATGCAGGAGGGAGGGATTGTGTCAAACAAGCAGGAGGGATCAGGGATTGTGTCAAACATGCAGGAGGGAGGGATTGTGTCAAACATGCCAGCAGGGAGGGATTGTGTCAAACATGCAGGAGGGAGGGATCACACATAATCAAACAAGCAGGAGGGAGGATTGTGTCAAACATGCAGGAGGGAGGGATTGTGTCATCAGGACACACATGCAGGAGGGAGGGATTGTGTCAAACATGCAGGAGGGAGGGATTGTGTCAAACATGCAGGAGGGAGGGTTGTGCATCCAAACAATGCAGGAGGGAGGGATTGTGTCAAAACATGCAGGAGGCAGGATTGTGATCAAACATGCAGGAGGGAGGGAATGCGTATCAAACACATGCAGGAGGGAGGGATATGTTTATCAAACATGCAAGAGGGAGGGATTGTCAGTCAGAACATGCAGGAGGGAGGGATTGTGTCAAAACATGCAGGAGGGAGGGTGCATTGTGGACCAAACAAGCCAGGAGGGAGGGAATGTATCAAACAAGCAGGAGATCAGAACACGATTGTGTCAAACATTCAGGAGGGAGCAGGATTGTGTCAAACATGCAGGAGGGAGGTATTGTGTCAAACAAGCAGGAGGGAGGGATTGTGTCAGCAGCAAGCAGGAGGGAGGGATTGGTGTCAAACATGCGGGAGGGAGGGATTGTGTCAAACAAGCAGGAGGGAGGGATTGTATCAAACATGCAGGAGGGAGGGATTGTGTCAAACATGCAGGAGGAGGGATATGTTTATCAAACATGCAGGAGGGAGGGATTGTGTCAAACATGCAGGAGGGAGGGATTGTGTCATCAAACATGCAGGAGGAGGGGATATGTCAAACAAGCAGGAGGGAGGGATTGTGTCAAACATGCAGGAGGGAGGGATTGTGTCAAACATGCAGGAGGGAGGGATTGGCTGTCAAACAAGCAGGAGGGAGGGATTGTGTCAACATGCAATGGAGGAGGATTGTGTCAAACATAATGGGAGGGAGGGATTGTGTCAAACATGCAGGAGGGAGGGATTGTGTCAAACATGCAGGAGGGAGGGATTGTAATCAAACAAGCAGGAGGGAGGGATTGTGTCAAACATGCAGGAGGGAGGGATTGTGTCAAACATGCAGGAGGGAGGGATTGTGTCAAACATGCAGGAGGGAGGGATTGTGTCAAACATGCAGGAGGGAGGGATTGTGTAATCAAACAAGCAGGAGGGAGGGATTGTGTCATGCAGGAGGGAGGGATTGTGTAATCAAACAATCAACAATGTGTCTGGGTGTAACAGGACCTCTACACATAATACCAGCAGCACAGTCATATTTTATACTGATGAAACAGGTGATCAGAACAATGTGTCTGGGTGTAACAGGACCTCTACACATAATACCAGCAGCACAGTCATATTTTATACTGATGAAACAGGTGATCAGAACAATGTGTCTGGGTGTATCAGGACCTCTACACATAATACCAGCAGCACAGTCATATTTTATACTGATGAAACAGGTGATCAGAACAATGTGTCTGGGTGTATCAGGACCTCTACACATAATACCAGCAGCACAGTCATATTTTATACTGATGAAACAGGTGATCAGAACAATGTGTCTGGGTGTATCAGGACCTCTACACATAATACCAGCAGCACAGTCATATTTTATACTGATGAAACAGGTGATCAGAACAATGTGTCTGGGTGTATCAGGACCTCTACACATAATACCAGCAGCACAGTCATATTTTATACTGATGAAACAGGTGATCAGAACAATGTGTCTGGGTGTATCAGGACCTCTACATATATTACCAGTATCTATATAACATATGGTTGGTGCTGGCCATTAGCTGCCTGACTCTCAGGGCAGCACAGCCATATTTATATACTGTGGGTTCGAATCCCGGATGGGACTCAATCAAACAAAAGTACTAGAATCTGTACTTTACTACGGAAGTGTAATCCCAAATATCACATATGTTACATTTGACCACTTTCTAAATGGCAGTGTGTAATCATAACATAAGGTTATCTTGATATGTAATAATGATAAGGCATCCAATTTGGACCTCAGTGTTTACCTGGGTCGAAGAAAACAATAGCTTTGAGACAAGCAAATTCTGAATCATCAATCTGGACATCCTTCAGTGGCTTGACAAGTTCATCCAGAATTCGACATGTAACTCGTACAATGTCAATATCAGTTGTATTTCGCGGAATGATGGAGTCGTTGCCTAGCAACAGAATATCTTTCAGACTCATGGATCTTCTTGCCACACCCAGTACTAAATGTTCTCCAGCGTGTGCACGTAACAGCGCCACCTGCAACAGACATGTCAGAAGTAGAATCAAAGATGGAAATATTTAAGAAGTAGAATCAAAGATGGAAATATTTAAACACCAACATCATGTTACCTACTAACAAATGTGTCTGACAGTTTCTCGTTAGGGGCTCACCTGATCATCCAGCGGCAGCTATGTTACCTACTAACAAATGTGTCTGACAGTTTCTCGTTAGGGGCTCACCTGATCGTCCAGCGGCAGCTATGTTACCTACTAACAAATGTGTCTGACAGTTTCTCCTTAGGGGCTCACCTGATCGTCCAGCGGCAGCTCACCTGATGTTGTTACCTACTAACAAATGTGTCTGACGGTTTCGTCCAGCGCAGCTTGTTAGGACAGTTTCTCGCTAGGGGGCTCACCTGATCGTCCAGCGGCAGCTATGTTACCTACCAACAAATGGCAGCTATGTCCAGCCGCAGCTACCTACTAACAAATGTGTCTGACAGTTTCTCGTTAGGGGCTCACCTGATCGTCCAGCGGCAGCTATGTTACCTACTAACAAATGTGTCTGACAGTTTCTCCTTAGGGGCTCACCTGGTCGTCCAGCGGCAGCTATGTTACCTACTAACAAATGTGTCTGACAGTTTCTCCTTAGGGGCTCACCTGATCGTCCAGCGGCAGCTCACAGAAGCAGGGGATGTACTTGGCCCACTCCACCAGGATCAGCAGCTGCTGCTTCATTGACTCGCACACGTCGCTCACGTTTGCCAGCTTCTTGGTCGACAGGTCTGCGTTTATTGGGGAGGCAATCTGAAACAACATGGCAGCCACTTCATCTTACAAAGCTCGAAATGGATTCTTTCTGAAAGCTGTCAGTTTGGTTTATTTCAGGGAATTATCCACAAGGGAAAGGCAGCTTGATGGTTTTAAGTCTTTGCCATTACCAGTCGTCAGTACTATCTTGTTCTCTTGGGCAACAAAATACATGATGTGTCTGATAAAAGTAAAGATCTCCCCCACTTCCCCCATGTGCTGTGTATCTAGAACATGTCGTACCTGTCTGGACAGGATCTCTGCATTCAGCAACGTGCTGACCGAGAGTGCTCCAGAGTTAGCGATGTCGTCATAACTTGTTCGCCGGACACTGATTCGGTCTCGTTCATTCTGTACAGCTGTAATGGAGATGTCAAACACTGTCACAAAATTCACATTGCATTTTACTTTCAAGCTGTGAAAAACTTAAACTGGTGGCATATTAAGTTGACATGTGGTGCCTTCAGATCACCGGACCACCCACAAGATTACAATACAAGCTTCCAGTGGGGTAAACACAGACCAGCAGTCCCGGCCGGCACTGAGTCGTGTCAACTAACCATGTCATATGGAGCCTTCAGATCACCGGACCACCCACAAGATTACAATACAAGCTTCCAGTGGGGTAAACACAGACCAGCAGTCCCGGCCGGCACTGAGTCGCGGTCAACTAACCATGTCATATGGAGCCTTCAGATCACCGGACCACCCACAAGATTACAATACGAAGCTTCCAGTGGGGTAAACACAGACCAGCAGTCCCGCCGCACTGAGTCGTGGGAGCCTCAACTAACCATGTCATATGGAGCCTTCAGATCACCGTCATATGGACCACCCACAAGATTACAATACAAGCTTCCAGTGGGGTAAACACAGACCAGCAGTCCCGGCCGCACTGAGTCGATCCACGGTCAACTAAACCATGTCATATGGAGCCTTCAGATCACCGGACCACCCACAAGATTACAATACAAAGCTTCCAGTGGGGTAAACACAGACCAGCAGTCCCGGCCGGCACTGAGTCGTGGTCAACTAACCATGTGATATGGAGCCTTAAGGTCACCGGACCACCCACAAGATTACAATACAAGCTTCCAGTGGGGTAAACACAGACCAGCAGTCCCGCCGGCACTGAGTCGGTGTCAACTAACCATGTGATATGGAGCCTTCAGGTCACCGGACCACCCACAAGATTACAATACAAGCTTCCAGTGGGAGTAAACACAGACCAGCAGTCCCGCCGCACAGAGTCGTGTCAACTAACCATGTCATATGGAGCCTTCAGATCACCGGACCACCCACAAGATTACAATACAAGCTTCCAGTGGGGTAAACACAGACCAGCAGTCCCGGCCGGCACTGAGTCGTGTCAACTAACCATGTCATATGGAGCCTTCAGATCACCGGACCACCCACAAGATTACAATAGAAGCTTACAGGTGGGGTAAACACAGACCAGCAAGCCCGGCCGGCACTGAGTCGCGTGTCAACTAACCATGTGATATGGAGCCTTCAGATCACCGGACCACCCACAAGATTACAATACAAGCTTACAGTGGGGTAAACACAGACCAGCAAGCCCGGCGCACTGAGTCGGTGTCAACTAACCATGTCATATGGAGCCTTCAGATCACCGGACCACCCACAAGATTACAATACAAGCTTCCAGTGGGGTAAACACAGACCAGCAGTCCCGGCGCACTGAGTCGCGGTGTCAACTAACCATGTCATATGGAGCCTTCAGATCAGCGGACCACCCACAAGATTACAATACAAGCTTCCAGTGGGGTAAACACAGACCAGCAGTCCCGCCGGCACTGAGTCGCGGTCAACTAACCATGTGATATGGAGCCTTCAGATCACCGGACCACCCACAAGATTACAATACAAGCTTCCAGTGGGTAAACACAGACCAGCAGTCCCGGCTGCACTGACTCGTGTCAACTAACCATGTCATATGGAGCCTTCAGGTCAGCGGACCACCCACAAGATTACAATACAAGCTTCCAGTGGGGTAAACACAGACCAGCAGTCCCGCCGGCACAGAGTCGTGTCAACTAACCATGTGATATGGAGCCTTCAGGTCACCGGACCACCCACAAGATTACAATAGAAGCTTCCAGTGGGGTGGAGACATCAACTAAACACAGACCAGCAGTCCCGGGCGGCACTGAGTCGTGTCAACTAACCATGTCATATGGAGCCTTCAGGTCAGCGGACCACCCACAAGATTACAATACAAGCTTCCAGTGGGGTAAACACAGACCAGCAGTCCCGGCCGGCACTGAGTCGTGTCAACTAACCATGTGATATGGAGCCTTCAGGTCAGCGGACCACCCACAAGATTACAATACAAGCTTCCAGTGGGTAAACACAGACCAGCAGTCCCGGCCGGCACTGAGTCGTGTCAACTAACCATGTCATATGGAGCCTTCAGGACCACACCGGACCACCCACAAGATTACAATACGAGCTTCCAGTGGGGTAAACACAGACCAGCAGTCCCGGCCGGCACTGAGTCGTGTCAACTAACCATGTCATATGGAGCCTTCAGATCACCGGACCACCCACAAGATTACAATACAAGCTTCCAGTGGGGTAAACACAGACCAGCAGGCCCGGCCGGCACTGAGTCGTGTCAACTAACCATGTCATATGGAGCCTTCAGATCACCGGACCACCCACAAGATTACAATACAAGCTTCCAGTGGGGTAAACACAGACCAGCAGGCCCGGCCGGCACTGAGTCGTGTCAACTAACCATGTCATATGGAGCCTTCAGGTCAGCATCTTCTAATGACTAACTATTTATGTTCATGCTTTTGATGTGACAAAGTCAGTCGAGCATCTAAACAGTGCAGTTCAGGAGAAACACTTCACTAGCTATTCTTGATCAGGAATTGTGAAATGATCAGCTGATGAGGGCAGCAGATGAGCTGGTGCTTGTAGAAGCAAGATCTGATTAGTGTTCACTTCTATAGCCTGTCTGGGTGTTGCATGTTTTAAATATACTTCAACAATTGATGACTCTTTTCTTCTACATTGACCTTGACACAGTGGTAGTGTGTGTAGAGACAAACATACAGGCTACATGAGGATCTCGGGACAACACAGAGTCAGACATTGCACAGTTTGCCAGACCTACCTTCCTTCTTCATCCCAGCCCTGAAGCACTTCTTGAGTCGACAATACCGACACTGGTTGCGCTTGTCCTTGTCCACGATGCAGTTGCGACTAAATCTGCAGCTGTAGACGTGGTTCTTACGGACGCTGCGGCGGAAGAAGCCCTTGCAGCCATCGCAGCTAGCAGCACCATAGTGTTTCCCTGTTGCCCGGTCTCCGCAGATGGCACAGAACTGGCTGATGGCGCCCGCTGAGTTCGGAGACACCAGGGATGGGACCGCACCAAGGGACTGGGCATTGAGGTCTTGAGAGTCTGTCAATAAAATGAACACATATTGAGGCTGGTACTTGGCTTTCGACAAAACAAAAAGAAACAAAACAAAGAGGCTGACAAATTGGGACACAAGTATCAGCAGATCCTGGCAGCTAAGGGATGTAACTCTGCGAGATAGTCACTCAGCTATCTGATTCCCTTTGACGTTCAGTGACATGGAGACACAACTGGAACCAAACACACATATCTTTTCAGAATATCATCAGTTACTTATTTTATGGTTCACTCCGCAAAGTTCACCCTACATGACAGTTGGCTGTAAAAAAAGTATGGGCCACACAAACCAGTGATTGATCTGATGAGATCTGTCCCATGCAGGTCGATGACACCCAATAAACCAGGTCAGTATACCTGACCATTCATTCCTGCTATCTGCCTCCAGCAACCGGTATACTCTGTTTGGACCTGATGAATCACCATGTTTGTTTTCTGTGCATAGCAGTAACAAGACTCGACATTTGACGTTAATGTACTGTCATCACACGACTTCAAGTTTTCTGGACAAGACAAAAATAGTCCAACATCAAACCAAACTGTGATCGTACGTGAACTAAGGTGGTAAAGTACCGGCACCAACACCTACCAAACTGTGATCGTACGTGAACTAAGGTGGTAAAGCACCGCACCAACACCTACCAAACTGTGATCGTAACGTGAACTAAGGTGGTAAAAGTACCGCACCAACACCTACCAAACTGTGATCGTACGTGAACTAAGGTGGTAAAGTACCGGGTACCAACACCTACCAAACTGTGATCGTACGTGAACTAAGGTGGTAAAGTACCGGCACAAACAACTACCAAACTGTGATCGTACGTGAACTAAGGTGGTAAAGTACCGGCACAAACAACTACCAAACTGTGATCGTACGTGGAACTAAGGTGGTACAACTACCGGCACAAACAACTACCAAACTGTGATCGTACGCGAACTAAGGTGGTAAAGTACCGGCACAAACAACTACCAAACTGTGATCGTACGTGAACTAAGGTGGTAAAGTACCGGCACCAACACCTACCAAACTGTGGCCATGGACCGACATCGTGAATGCCACATTGTTGCAACACAGAATACAGCATAGTGACACTCCGATCGATCACACGTGTTGTCACCCAGCAGACTAGCCTACTCTCACACGTGTCTGGTCACCCAGCAGACTAGCCTCCCCTCGCCCCAGTACCCATCCCACAACTCCTGCCCCATGCAGCACGGACTAAACACATTCCGACACCTACCTAGCAAGCAGACTCACGTCCAATGATGAGGATGATAGTGGCTTAACCAGTATACATTTATGTTGCATTAATCATGTTTGGGGCTTGAGATTTTTAAATGAAAACCCCTACTATGTGTTTACAAATACTTTACAAGAGCCCAGAAATCTTTGAATGAACATGTGATAAGACTTTTATCAACATGTCTATTCTCATCTAGGACATTTTTCAGTGGTTTAAGATAACAGCCCTGACTCTGTATTATGCATGGAGGTTTTCTAACTGTTCTCAAGGGGGTATTGTTTGGGGTTAAGCCTCAGTTTCCTTTTATCATGTTAAAGATGCAGCTATCAGGCCCAAGTGTTAAACAAGCAGACCGTCCCCGACAACCTGTGGGAGATGCGCTGTAATGTCATAGGCATTGTCGCACTTGGTGTCATATGTCAACTATAACAAGCAACTTATTCACAGATTATCAGCAATCTTCCCTATAATAACGACCCAGACGATAAAAGGGCAAATGTTTACCAAAAGGTAAGTGGAGCCCAAGTAGTAGGGATTTTAGCAGGAGCCAATAGGTTCACAATATCAACTCATTGTTAAGTTACCTCCCTTGTGTTAGATGTATAAAACTTTCAGCAGAGATCAGCGAGGACAAGATGATATGGTCAATATTTAGACTACAGGATGAAAGGTTAGCTCATGGGCCATTTTCCACATCTAATACCACATCTGATACCACAACCTGTTTTTACACAATGTCACAAGAAGCTTCAGAGATTAAATATCTCACTGAGTGAGTGAGTGAGTGAGCAAGCGAGTATGGTTTTATGCCACTTTTAGCAATATTCCAACAATATTCCAGCAATATCACAGACACTAGAAATGGGCTGCACACATTGTACCCATGTGGGGAGCACACACCTTAACCATTAGGCTACCCCACTGCCCGAGTGAGTGAGTGAGTGAATGAGTGAGGCTACATCAGCATTTTGACATGTGCAGGAAGACCTCGTCACCCCATGACAGTATTTAGGTTTTCACTAGATGAAACCTGTCACATTAGTCCTAACAATCAGAAACAATCTGACCAGGTACAATCAGACAATACAAGTGGGTGTTATAGAACAATAGGAACAGCAGATAGCAGGCAGCACGTAGTCATGTATAGGTTAGTCCACAGAGCCCAGTGTCCACAGATAACACCACCTCATGTAGCTGTGAACCAACTCTCTCTTAATACTCAGCAGAAGCTGAGTTGAGTGAGTGAGTGCAGATTATTGGAGTGTTCCACAGTAGCCTTCCTGAATGAGTGAGTGAGTGCAGATTATTAGTGTGTTCCACAGCAGCCTTCCTGACTGAGTGAGTGAGTGCAGATTATTAGTGTGTTCCACAGTAGCCTTCCTGGAATGAGTGAGTGAGTAAGTTCCACAGTAGCCTTCCTGAATGAGTGAGTGAGTGAGTGCAGATTATTGGAGTGTTCCACAGTAGCCTTCCTGAATGAGTGAGTGAGTGAGTGCAGATTATTGGAGTGTTCCACAGTAGCCTTCCTGAATGAGTGAGTGAGTGAGTGCAGATTATTAGTGTGTTCCACAGTAGCCTTCCTGAATGAGTGAGTGAGTGCAGATTATTGGAGTGTTCCACAGTAGCCTTCCTGAATGAGTGAGTGAGTGCAGATTATTGGAGTGTTCCACAGTAGCCTTCCTGAATGAGTGAGTGAGTGAGTGCAGATTATTAGTGTGTTCCACAGTAGCCTTCCTGAATGAGTGAGTGAGTGAGTGCAGATTATTGGAGTGTTCCACAGTAGCCTTCCTGAATGAGTGAGTGAGTGCAGATTATTGGAGTGTTCCACAGTAGCCTTCCTGAATGAGTGAGTGAGTGAGTGCAGATTATTGGAGTGTTCCACAGTAGCCTTCCTGAATGAGTGAGTGAGTGAGTGCAGATTATTGGAGTGTTCCACAGTAGCCTTCCTGAATGAGTGAGTGAGTGAGTGCAGATTATTAGTGTGTTCCACAGTAGCCTTCCTGAATGAGTGAGTGAGTGCAGATTATTAGTGTGTTCCACAGTAGCCTTCCTGAATGAGTGAGTGCAGATTATTGGAGTGTTCCACAGTAGCCTGAATGAGTGAGTAAGGAGTGCAGATTATTAGTGTGTTCCACAGTAGCCTTCCTGAATGAGTGAGTGAGTGAGTGCAGATTATTAGTGTGTTCCACAGTAGCCTTCCTGAATGAGTGGAGTGAGTGAGTGCACATTATTAGTGTGTTCCACAGTAGCCTTCCTGAATGAGTGAGTAAGTGAGTGCACATTATTAGTGTGTTCCACAGTAGCCTTCCTGAATGAGTGAGTAAGTGGAGTGCAGATTATTAGGAGTGTTCCACAGTAGCCTTCCTGAATGAGTGAGTGAGTGAGTGCAGATTATTAGTGTGTTCCACAGTAGCCTTCCTGAATGAGTGAGTGAGTGCAGATTATTAGTGTGTTCCACAGTAGCCTTCCTGAATGAGTGAGTGAGTGAGTGCAGATTATTAGTGTGTTCCACAGTAGCCTTCCTGAATGAGTGAGTGAGTGAGTGCAGATTATTAGTGTGTTCCACAGTAGCCTTCCTGAATGAGTGAGTGAGTGCAGATTATTAGTGTGTTCCACAGTAGCCTCCTGAATGAGTGAGTGAGTGAGTGCACATTATTAGTGTGTTCCACAGTCTGTCAGCATGAGCAACAACCATGATATTCTACATCCAGTTTTATTTTGCTCCTACTCATGACATATTAGCAGTAATAAAAAAAACCTAAATGTGTATCACAACAGCTCTTGCAATAATGCTAACAGTTTGTCCATTGTGAGCAGTATCACCACAACATCACCACAATCAATGAATCATTACAGCCACAGTAACCACAACTGTTGTAGCCCAAACTTCTTAAACCAACATAATATGAACACCTTAAACCAACATAATATAAACACCTTAAACCAACATAATATGAACACCTTAAACCAACATAATATGAACACCTTAAACAATTATTTTGGAAAATATTGTTAAAACACTGACTTTTATCAAAACAAAGTTGTATCAAAGTTGTATCAGAATATGTATCTCAAAATATGTATGAGATTTCAAAATGCAAAATGACTAGATGTGTGTAATTTATTCTTAATTTCTATAGTGAGATATAAAAGAGAAAATCAATATGGTAATGAGGCACATCTTTACCTGATTATCTCATAAAAAGATCTTTGTGAAAGTATGGCCCTAAAAGCTGCCATGTCATCAACACAATCACCTTCCACCATTATCTCACACACAACTTCCTACATATCATTAAAGCAAAGTTTAAATTCATGCTCACATGCCACAAGAACCTCGATTACTGACTGACCGATGTACAATGTTCGTCATCGGACCTTTGGCATGACAAAGTACAACTCGTATCTTACCGAGTTCTTCATAGATGATTTCGCCATCAGCAGACTGAAGCTGGAAACGGGCAGGATATTGGAATTTGGTCAGAAACGCCATGTTGGAAATCCTGCCTCAGCAGTCAGTTGGAAGGTGGAATTTGGTGATATTAATGAGGATAGTAGTGACTACATAACTGTTGACACCCTCCTGGACGATGTGGCACCTTATCTACAACTACCTGCATTGTAGTCTACATCAGGGGCCATCTCAAAACTCCACCAGACAGATTAGTGAGCCACTTGGCTATGAAATCTGTGCTTGCATCTTGCTTTAAAGACGTGGGACTAGGAGCATTGCTAAACTTTCTAAATAGATTTATGCAGCTGTTTAACTTTCTAAATTCAGTTGACTAAACTTTTCACATTCATAACAGTTATATCAATGGCCTGGTACATGAAAAAAGACTAATGTAATTTTTCCAGTGGTCATACTATGATGAGTTTTAGCCCAAAGGAGTGACAAAAAACAAATGAACTATCAAAATATAAGATTTAGACGCAAAATGTGTTTCGTCAATTCGTTTGATTGTAATCTTATCTCAAACAATTAGAAGATCTTATGCTGAGACAGTCCCTTTAGTCATTCGTATAAACAAATCGTATCGAAGAGCATCAGGGAAGATAAGTTTTGATATCAGCTGGATAGCCGTGTCACAAACATCACACACACATACATACATACATCCATGTAGAACTTAAGGCCGAAGTAAATCTGTAGTTACTTATTGAATTGAAGTACAACATGAGTGAATCAACAATGTTACTCAAGTACTGCACGCTGCAGTATTACAGCAACAGTAACCGACTGGACAAGGTTGACTAGTGGTTGATAGTGCGAGCACCAATCTGTACCATCATTGCACTCCGACACACAAGAGCCAAGTGATATACGTCAACATCAACATCATCGAGCATGGGGTGGCTCCCCACAGGGTCTGAGCATGGCTCCCCACAGGGTCTGAGTGCAGCTCTTTGAGTTGGTTCTGCTTCTATATGTTGTGGTAAATGTTTTCCATGCCGGCACTCGATGACCATGACACAGTTAAAGACTGACTGACTGAGTTTGGTTTTACGCCACTTTTAGCAATATTCCAGCAACATCACGGCGGGGGACACCAGAAATGGACACAGTTAAAGAGTGTGACTGATGGATCATCTGATGAGACATGGCTGGGGAGGGGTGTGAGGTAGAAGAGGAGGTCGACAGCATGAATTGATGCAGACTCACGTAAGCTGAACAAATTAATGCCGAAGCACACAATGAGAAGTCCAAGTAGCTACATCCTTGAAACTCGCTACTGTCTATGAATTCCACCGTGGAATAATTAATCTCTACTTACCACTTCACCTTCATGAAATAACCGTACTTTTTCTAACAGTGCGTGAGTGAGGGTTTATTTTGGACATTGAATTGTTAAAGTTCGAATCGGGATCCACCAAACCAGTGGTTGATGGTGTGAGCAGATAAATGAATCCCAGGAAATGAGATGCAATACTGCAGCTTTATGATGCTGGCCTGTAAATATGTCTAGTTAGATGACAATGCCCGACACCAGTCTGCACATGTCTGGCTCTAATGTCACTCATCTTGTACAGAAGGTGGAGCTCCTTCAACTCCCCACACTGAGAGTCTCCCACACTGAGAGTCTCCCACACACTACTAAAAGGCCATCATCAGTGTATGTAGCCCCTGGAGTACTGGGGACATGGGGATGATGTGCGTCAGAGAGAAACAGCTAGTTCAGGAACAACATGTAAAGAGAACCTCTGTTTGAAAACCCCTTACTGATTCATGCGGAACATTTGGAAAAAAAAGCATCAATCATTTTCGACTTAATTCAAATTATGTTTGATGGTACCAAAACTCTTTCAGTTTAATTTCATCAAACCCAACATGTAACATTATACAAAGAACCACATGTTTCCCAGAATGCCTCTCATCTGTACTGCTGACATCCTGTGAGTAAGCCAATGAAATCAGAGAACACAATAACGCAGCCAATGAAATCAGAGAACACAAATCTCTGCCAGACAGTTCCAAAGGTTTCCTAAGGAAACATACATGCACTTCATGAATCAACTGAAGCTGCCAGTTGGCCGTAGAATGTCAGGAAACACTGTGCCCCTCACAAAGTCATCAAACAGTCCCGACTAGGGGGGTCAAACCTGGTTATAACTGACTGTGACTCATCAAAACATACACATCAAACATTTCAACAGTCAGTCAGTCAGTGAGTGAGTGAGTGAGTTTGCTGCTTTGAACAGTACTTCATTTACGACCACTAGAAATATGAAAGTTGTGGCCTGGTTCAATTCCCACTTGCACTGGTCCTGGTGGCCAGTGTATTTGTTGAGCACTGCCCTCTTCAGACACTGGGGCTGTAACCAGGGATCTAATACTGGTGTGAGGCTAATGCTTTGTCTCCGAAAAAAAAAATTATTTGAGAATAACAGAATGTAAACTGAAGAGAGACCCAATGAGCAAGGTGAGGTGAGGTGAGGTGAAATTGGGTCTAACGTCGTGCTTGATAATATTTCGCTCATATGACGACGTGCATGCATGTGTATGTGTATGTGCAGCTGCTTGTACTAGCCCAGACTGAAGCTGGTTTTATAGTGCTAGCCCGGTGAGATACCATGCCGCAGTGAAGCATGAATACCCCACTCAGACACATTATACTGACTCCGAGCCGACCAGTCCTTGTTGTACCCATTAATGCTGAGCGCCAGGCAGGGACCAACAAGTACCATATTTTAACGTCTTTTGGTATGACACAGTCGGGCAATGAGCAAGGAGACTGAGGGGGAAATGTGGACTTGCATTACAGCAAGGTGTGGGTAGAACGGAATATAGTATGGTTCACCACCCTCCAGAACATGGCAGTGTCACCCCCTACCCCGTCTTTCCCACCCTCCAGAACATGGCTGTGTCACCCCCTACCCCGTCTTTCCCTCCCTCCAGAACATGGCTGTGTCACCCCCTACCCCGTCTTTCCCACCCTCCAGAACATGGCTGTGTAACCCCCTACCCCGTCTTTCCCACCCTCCAGAACATGGCTGTGTAACCCCCTACCCCGCTCTTTCCCACCCTCCAGAACATGGCTGTGTCACCCCCTACCCCGTCTTTCCCACCCTCCAGAACATGGCTGTGTCACCCCCCTACCCTGTCTTTCCCACCCCTCCCAGAACATGGCTGTGTCACCCCCTACCCCCTCTTTCCCACCCTCCAGAACATGGCTGTGTAACCCCCACCCCGTCTTTTCCCACCCTCCAGAACATGGCTGTGTCACCCCTACCCCTCTTTCCCACCCTCCAGAACATGGCTGTGTCACACCCCCCCTACCCCCTGCTTTTCCCACCCTCCAGAACATGGCTGTGTCACCCCCTACCCCTCTTTCCCTCCCTCCAGGACATGGCTGTGTCACCCCCTACCCGTCTTTCCCTCCCTCCCTCCAGGACATGGCTGTGTCACCCCCTACCCCCCTCTTTCCCCCCCTCCCTCCAGAACATGGCTGTGTCACCCCCTACCCCGTCTTTTCCCTCCCTCCAGAACATGGCTGTGTCACCCCCTACCCCGTCTTTCCCTCCCTCCAGGAACATGGCTGTGTCACACCCTACCCCGCATGGCTTTCCCTCCCTCAGAACATGGCTGTGTAACCCCCTACCCCGTCTTTCCCTCCCTCCAGGACATGGCTGTGTCACCCCCTACCCCGTCTTTTCCCACCCTCCAGGACATGGCTGTGTCACCCCCTACCCCGTCTTTCCCTCCCTCCAGAACATGGCTGTGTAACCCCCTACCCCCTCTTTCCCTCCCTCCAGGACATGGCTGTGTCACCCCCTACCCCGTCTTTCCCACCCTCCAGAACATGGCTGTGTCACCCCCTACCCCGTCTTTCCCACCCTCCAGAACATGGCTGTGTCAGTACGTGCAACATTATCATTACCTCCCATATCTGTAAGATTAGATTAGATGACACCTATACCACTAGCAGCCATTACATTCAGCCCAAACCTGTTTCCTTTCAGTGAAACAATGAAAATATGTCTGCAGTTTCATGCCTCACATTCAATTGAATCAAGAAATTTCCTTTGATATTCTTTTCCAATATTTCCTATAATAGAATGAACTATGAAACATCAGAAAGAAAGGAATATCCAATTTAGATAAGTAATAATGTGTTGTCCTTTTATCAATATGATTGAAACATATATATTTCCAAAGAAAGGAACCGGATTGGAAAACAAGCATAAGCTTGGTACATGAATACCGCTCTGTTTTATCAATATGAGCTGATAATGTGTACATGAATCTAGTTTAAGAGACTGGTGTTTGGAGAAACTGGGCAGTATTTGCAGTATTTGCAGCTCAAGTGATATTTAACCTTGATCCCCCTCGTTATCAGCCCCTGTGTGATAATCAGTAATATCAACATCTTCAGATAGTGTGTCAGCTAGGCAGTATTGTATGTTAATACCAGCTTCCGTATCTCGCCCCATCACACAGGACAGGCCTCAACCTGCGCCGTAACTTGATTTTCTGATATACACCAGCTAGATATTAAATGTAGCCACTGTCACCACCCTGATATAACAAAGCAGCATTTCATCAAGTTACAAGTAGAAAAATACATTTTGACATTATTCTAATGTGACTTTTAACTTTGATGTTTAAAACAGACCAAATTATGATATGCATGTAAATTGACTAAAAACTACCTTTGCTGAATTTAAAAGAAACCGAACACTAAATGTGAACTGCAGATACAAAATAGGAATTGAAATGCACATACACAAGGTTCATTGAAACATACATACAAAAAGTCAATAGAAGTCCACACCCAATAACGGAATTGAAATTCCTACAACTAATCCTATCTGATGAAAGTCCCATGATTAATTACTATGGCAACAACCAAATGCTTTCTTTATGGAATTCAGTTTTATATAACTCATTCAAAATCAAATTAAATTTTCTTTGATCTTCCACCAGTATATGAAAGCGCCTGTACATTTTACACTGAAAACACTTCAACATACACCATCTTCCCGTTCATATTTCACCAGTAAACCTTAGAATTAAGTACATGACAATATGTATTGTAAGTCAGGAGTGTGTGACACCCAGATCGGAAACTTTATCTCCCAGCACGTGGACCACAATGGCCACTTTAATCAGTTATCTTCTGACAGCTTTTCACAGGCCACACCCCCTAGCTTGCAACTTGAAGCCACCGTACCTGCACGATCCACTTACTAATGCTGTAAAATATGTCTATAATTAACACACTCATAACCATATGTATCTTGGGTCCTGGCCGCTTGACGTAACTTTCAGTCGAAGTGCTTATAACGAACTACAGTTACAGCAAAATATAATGAGAGGTGCCTTTAAATTTGGTGTGACTGTAGCTTAGTTTATACCAGTACAAAGTAGAATGCTGGATCACAAGAATTCAACCATTTGGAGGTTGGTGAAAGTTGGTCACCATCTCAAGATATTTACCCATACACATGAATTATAATGACAAACATAACCGACATAAGAAATCATGATTTCCACATATCTTGGTGATATCAGTGTGTCTACTGGAGCTGTACACGGATGTTGTTATGTAGGCCTTGTACAGGTGCAATTCCCACGTAACATTCACTGATTCATAAAGTTTGCATACAAACAGTCAGTAGTCATACCTCAGTTAATGCTGAGGTTAACAAACTGACGTTACGTTCCACTAAATTCTCCCAGACCCAGATCATATCCCAATTGCATAGATCAATGCTCATGCTGTTGATCACTGGATTTTCTGGTCCAGACTTGATTATTTACAGACCGCCACCATATAGCTGGAATACTGCTGAGTGTGGCGTAAAACTAAACTCACTCACTCACTTCTCCAGGAAAATATTGAGAGGAAACTTCCCTGCAGTAACACTTGACTATGGGAGTGAGGCCAACTTCCACACTCAAAATACATCTCTCATTCAGTCGAAATATTGTCAGGAAATATCTTCAACCTTTCGGTGACTTGATCAGCGTCGATCTGCCTGAATGTGGCCGGTGTCTACAGTGATAGCCGGACATGCTAAGTGTTGTCACAGGAAGAAAATACTAAATCAACATTTAATTGGTGTGAAAACTGCTCACTCAGCTTTTTAACTTGGCAGGAGACAAAAAAATTAGGACATTTTCTACATTTTATCAACTTTTGCACAATATTTTTCTCTTTCATTACATCATTTGAAAAATATCTTCAGGACATTTCGCAAGACATAGAGTCAATGTTCCAGGATATAAGCCCATTTGAATATCAGTTCGCATAAACTGATCTTAAGACTGACTGACTGACTGAGTTTGGTTTTACGCCGCTTTTAGCAATATTCCAGCAACATCACGGCGGGGGACACCAGAAATGGGCTTCACACATTGAGCCCATGTGGGGATTCGAACCCGGGTCTTCGGCGTGACAAGCCAACACTTTTACCACTAGGCTACCCCACCGCCCCCCAATCTTAAGATGACAAACATGTTGGGATAGTCTGAATCATATAGACTATCAGGTCTTTGATAGACATGTGAATATCACTTCATATAGACCGATCATAAGATGACAAACATGTTGGGATAGTCTGAATCATATAGACTATCGTGTCTTTGATAGGCATGTGAATATCACTTCATATAGACTGATCATAAGATGACAAACATGTTGGGATAGTCTGAATCATATAGACTATCAGGTCTTTGATAGACATGTGAATATCACTTCATATAGACCGATCATAAGATGACAAGCATGTTGGGATAGTCTGAATCATATAGACTATCAGGTCTTTGATAGACATGTGAATATCACTTCATATAGACCGATCATAAGATGACAAACATGTTGGGATAGTCTGAATCATATAGACTATCAGGTCTTTGATAGACATGTGAATATCACTTCATATAGACCGATCATAAGATGACAAGCATGTTGGGATAGTCTGAATCATATAGACTATCAGGTCTTTGATAGACATGTGAATATCACTTCATATAGACCGATCATAAGATGACAAACATGTTGGGATAGTCTGAATCATATAGACTATCAGGTCTTTGATAGGAATATAAACAAACATGAAGACATGAAACTATCCATGAGTGAGTGAGTGAGTGAGTGAGTGAGTGAGTGAGTGAGTGAGGAGTGAGTGAGTGTGAGTGAGTGAGTGTAAGTATGTAAAGGTGTGAGTTATAACTGCATCACCATTTTCACATAAGCAGGAATACCAAAACCGATGCCAGCATATAGACTGTCACCCTGAGGACATTAGTTAGTTTTTCATCAGATGAAGACTTTCACATCCCGAGGTAAGTTCTAGCAATCAGAAACAATCTGACAAGCTACAATCAGAGAGAGGACTGACAAGCTACATTCAGAGAAAGGAGAAGATTTTATGCCCCTTGTAGCAATATATCAACCCCATCCCGCCAGGGGGCACTAACACTGAAACACAGACCAGGACATGTCCTACTACATCAAGCGGTACACGGAGGGTTCCATACACAGGGCTACCTAGCAATCAGAACAGTCCTGCATTAGATTCTATAGTTCAGCCCTTAAAGATGCTTGTGATTCTTAGAAGTTAAATTTGCAGTTTAAAATAAGCCAAGTTTTTAGGTTACATTTTATTATAAGTACCTATGTATTCCAAAAGGTATTTAACATATTCACAGATGAAGATTCCTACATGAGTGTCACTCTGATCCTCAACAAATCATTACCATCAGGTAATGCCACCTACCTTAAACATGCCATATGATATTCCACTCAAACTACATCCTATGTGGAGCAGAGATTGTCCAGTCTCATCAAGGTATCCTCTTGAAATATAATAAAAACTCCAGTGTCTGAATCCAGTACTTGCCAACATCCTCCGTATATAATGAGAGATAACTAACTGGGCAGGAGATGCTGATCTTTATTGTGATGTTAGTTGAACCTGTGAACATTGGTCTCTATCTACATACATGGTCCCACCATGGCTCACCCTTAGTGTAAAGTGCAGGCTAAGTACAGGACTATGCTCTAAGTTCAAACTTCATGGATTTCTGATATAGTCCGAATCTGAGGTGTATCACTATCTTGTCCAGCGTACCTGTCCCTTTGATCTCCATCATACACCTCACCTGCTCAGTAATTTGTGGACACTGCCTGACATAGTAATTAGCAGATCGATTCAAGCTTTCTTTTTATTTAATAATTTTCAGGACATTTCTAAAAAAACAACATAAGTACACCTAACATTGCAGATTTCTTTCGGCATATTTATATCAACTGTTATCATTCCCTGTCTAACAGGATACATCCCCAATAATATGTCAGTACAAGGAATACATTTACACACCTGAGAAGAAACTTCAGTGCTCAGAATATATTTACACACCTGAGAAGAAAACTTCAGTGCTCTGAATATATTTACACACCTGAGAAGAAAACTTCAGTGCTCTGAATATATTTACACACCTGAGAAGAAAACTTCAGTGCTCTGAATATATTTACACACCTGAGAACAAAACTTCAGTGCTCTGAATATATTTACACACCTGAGAAGAAAACTTCAGTGCTCTGAATATATTTACACACCTGAGAACAAAACTTCAGTGCTCTGAATATATTTACACAACTGAGAACAAAACTTCAGTGTTCTGAATATATTTACACGCCTGAGAACAAAACTTCAGTGCTCTGAACATATTTACACAACTGAAAACAAAACTTCAGTGCTCTGAATATATTTACACACCTGAGAACAAACCTTCTGTGCTTGGAATATATTTACACCCCTGAGAACAAAACTTCGGTATTCTCAAAATATACTGAAGGACACAAATAAGGGAACTCCACTTCATAGCATTGTTCCTTTTTTTATTCTCAGATTTCCTCCCACAGTGCTATTCAAAGCCTGATGATGAAAAATGGAAAATATTAAAGGAACACTTTGTTCTCTCAGTATATCTACTCACCTGAGAACTGTTGACCTGAACTGTCCCCGGTTCCGCAGTCAGAATCTGCAACACACAAAGTTCCAATGAATAGACAGTCAGACAACAAGCATCATCATCATCATCATCATCATCATCATCATCATCATCACCACCATCATCATCGTCATCGCCATACAGCCAGTTTGAGGCATTGCAGCTATGTTGTCCATCAGATCTACATTCTGTATGGCTTCAGGTAGCATATAACTTGGACTGTCTATATAATCTTCCAATTGTCCGTGGGCATCGCAGACACCAACAAGACCATTTCTATGGAACACTGACAGGAATTACAGAACTATCTGGAGTGTTTATTGTAATTCCACAACATTTTTTCATCGTCATATCTTGAGCATGTGTATATTTTAACTCCACAACAAAACATTTTTCATTGTTACACCTTGATTAAATGTGCAGGTGTTATATATTGATTTACCCTCAAACACACATTATGTCACGGCTGTAGATGTTTCTAAACCATGGAAGACCATAGGGGAGACCATACGGCTATTATATATAAGTACCTGTGATGGCCATGTTATCACTGCTCTACAGTAGATGACATCAGGTAAACCACCTGTGATGGCCATGTTATCACTGCTCTACAGTAGATGACATCAGGTAAACCACCTGTGACAGCCATGTTATCACTGCTCTACAGTAGATGACATCAGGTAAACCACCTGTGACAGCCATGTTATCACTGCTCTACAGTAGATGACATCAGGTAAACCACCTGTGACAGCCATGTTATCACTGCTCTACAGTAGATGACATCAGGTAAACCACCTGTGATGGCCATGTTATCACTGCTCTACAGTAGATGACATCAGGTAAACCACCTGTGATGGCCATGTTATCACTGCTCTACAGTAGATGACATCAGGTAAACCACCTGTGACAGCCATGTTATCACTGCTCTACAGTAGATGACATCAGGTAAACCACCTGTGACAGCCATGTTATCACTGCTCTACAGTAGATGACATCAGGTAAACCACCTGTGACAGCCATGTTATCACTGCTCTACAGTAGATGACATCAGGTAAACCACCTGTGACAGCCATGTTATCACTGCTCTACAGTAGATGACATCAGGTAAACCACCTGTGACAGCCATGTTATCACTGCTCTACAGTAGATGACATCAGGTAAACCACCTGTGATGGCCATGTTATCACTGCTCTACAGTAGATGACATCAGGTAAACCACCTGTGACAGCCATGTTATCACTGCTCTACAGTAGATGACATCAGGTAAACCACCTGTGACAGCCATGTTATCACTGCTCTACAGTAGATGACATCAGGTAAACCACCTGTGACAGCCATGTTATCACTGCTCTACAGTAGATGACATCAGGTAAACCACCTGTGACAGCCATGTTATCACTGCTCTACAGTAGATGACATCAGGTAAACCACCTGTGACGGCCATGTTATCACTGCTCTACAGTAGATGACATCAGGTAAACCACCTGTGATGGCCATGTTATCACTGCTCTACAGTAGATGACATCAGGTAAACCACCTGTGATGGCCATGTTATCACTGCTCTACAGTAGATGACATCAGGTAAACCACCTGTGATGGCCATGTTATCACTGCTCTACAGTAGATGACATCAGGTAAACCACCTGTGACAGCCATGTTATCACTGCTCTACAGTAGATGACATCAGGTAAACCACCTGTGACAGCCATGTTATCACTGCTCTACAGTAGATGACATCAGGTAAACCACCTGTGATGGCCATGTTATCACTGCTCTACAGTAGATGACATCAGGTAAACCACCCGTGACAGCCATGTTATCATTGCTCTACAGTAGATGACATCAGGTAAACCACCTGTGACAGCCATGTTATCACTGCTCTACAGTAGATGACATCAGTTAAACCACCTGTGATGGCCATGTTATCACTGCTCTACAGTAGATGACATCAGGTAAACCACCTGTGACAGCCATGTTATCACTGCTCTACAGTAGATGACATCAGGTAAACCACCTGTGATGGCCATGTTATCACTGCTCTACAGTAGATGACATCAGGTAAACCACCTGTGATGGCCATGTTATCACTGCTCTACAGTAGATGACATCAGGTAAACCACCTGTGACAGCCATGTTATCACTGCTCTACAGTAGATGACATCAGGTAAACCACCTGTGACAGCCATGTTATCACTGCTCTACAGTAGATGACATCAGGTAAACCACCTGTGACAGCCATGTTATCACTGCTCTACAGTAGATGACATCAGGTAAACCACCTGTGATGGCCATGTTATCACTGCTCTACAGTAGATGACATCAGGTAAACCACCTGTGATGGCCAAGTTATCACTGCTCTACAGTAGATGACATCAGGTAAACCACCTGTGATGGCCAAGTTATCACAGCCTTGTTGTCAATGTTCTACATCTCATAATGTCACCTAAATCCAAGATATCACTGAAATCTGTTCAATCATTCACTACTTCTTACAATAACCTCAGTTTCCGACAAAAGATTCAACTTGCAGTGAATAAAAGTGAGTGTTTATCTTTCACACGAGTGTGGTGCAGCCAGTGTGGTGTTGCCTGTGTAGTGCAGCCCGTGTGGTGCAGCTTGTGTTGTTCAGCTGTCTTGTGGAGCCTGTGTGATGCAGCCTATGTGGCACAGCCTGTGTTGTGTAGCCTGTGTTGTGGAGCCTGTGTGATGCAGCCTGTGTTGTGGAGCCTGTGTGATGCAGCCTGTGTTATGGAGCCTGTGTGATGCAGCCCGTGTGATGCAGCCTGTGTTGTGTAGCCTGTGTGATGCAGCCTGTGTTGTGGAGCCTGTGTGATGCAGCCTGTGTTGTGGAGCCTGTGTGATGCAGCCTGTGTTGTGGAGCCTGTGTGATGCAGCCTGTGTTGTTCAGCCTGTGTTGTGGAGCCTGTGTGGTGGAGCCTGTGTGATGCAGCCTGTGTTGTGGAGCCTGCATGGTGCAGCCCTGTGTGATGCAGGCCTGTGTTGTGGAGCCTGTGTGATGCAGCCTGTGTTGTGTAGCCCGTGTGATGCAGCCTGTGTTGTGGAGCCTGTGTGATGCAGCCTGTGTTGTGGAGCCTGTGTGATGCAGCCTGTGTTGTGGAGCCTGTGTGATGCAGCCTGTGTTGTTCAGCCTGTGTTGTTCAGCCCGTTTGGTCCAGCCTGTGTGATGCAGCGCGTGTTGTGGAGCCTGCATGGTGCAGCCTGTGATGCAGGCTGTGTTGTGGAGCCTGTGTGATGCAGCCTGTGTTGTGGAGCCTGTGTGATGCAGCCTGTGTTGTGGAGCCTGTGTGATGCAGCCTGTGTTGTTCAGCCTGTGTTGTTCAGCCCGTTTGGTCCAGCCTGTGTGATGCAGCGCGTGTTGTGGAGCCTGCATGGTGCAGCCTGTGATGCAGGCTGTGTTGTGGAGCCTGTGTGATGCAGCCTGTGTTGTGGAGCCTGTGTGATGCAGCCTGTGTTGTGGAGCCTGTGTGGTGCAGCCTGTGTTGTGGAGCCTGTGTGATGCAGCCTGTGTTGTGGAGCCTGTGTGATGCAGCCTGTGTTGTTCAGCCTGTGTTGTGCAGCCCGTTTGGTGCAGCCTGTGTGATGCAGTGCGTGTTGTGGAGCCTGCATGGTGCAGCCTGTGTTGTGCAGCCCGTGTGTTGTGGAGCCGGTGTTGTGCAGCCCATCTGCAGCCCGCCCGTGTTGTGCAGCCTGTGTGGTGCAGCCTGTGTGATGCAGCCCGTGTGGTGCACAAAGAGCCAATGAGTTGCGATCTGAGTTCGGATCTAATGCAGACATTCTGACAAGATTCTAAACATACTTTCATCTTCAATACAAGATGCATTCCTTAACAAAGGCTTCAATACAAAAGCAGGTACACTATTTACCTAAATTACTTCTACCATTATCCTGAAAACTCTCAATGAAATGGTGTTTTCAATAAATTAAAATGTTTTGCTTCGTGGGACGTGGGACCCCATAAGCCTGTATTGACTGCCTTATGACTCACTGCCCCAGATAATGTTTCATATCACATGATGTGTTTGTTTCTTTGTTGACATGTATACCATGTGCTTTGTTCAGCACACTGTGTCACTACCACCATTCTGCCTGTGACCCGACATCAAGACACATTTGACAAGACATGTTTAGTAAACACACATTTGTTGGACAGGGCAGAACAATACACTTACCAGGTGGGTGACGAACACACACAATACATTTACAAACAAACCAGTTTAAGACAATGTACATGTATCCCACATCTCCATACATGCGAACAAGAACACAAATCACATGCATGTTGTTTTCCTGGAAGATAGTGATACAGGTTCAAGCTATACAAAACAACATTCAAACTGTGATCACCGGACAGCTTCATGGGTGACATAACAATGGGTCATGGAATATGAACATTCAACCCAACATAACAATGGGTCATGGAATATGAACATTCAACCCAACATGGCAATGGGTCATGGAATATGAACATTCAACCCAACATAACAATGGGTCATGGAATATGAACATTCAACCCAACATAACAATGGGTCATGGAATATGAACATTCAACCCAACATGGCAATGGGTCATGGAATATGAACATTCAACCCAACCTGGCAATCTCTTGACGTGTACCATGGGGAGATAAGATATACTTCTCAAAATGGGAGTAGTGTCTTCGAACCCGGTCTTCGGCGACAAGCCAACGCTTTAACCACTAGGCTACCCCCACCGCCCCCATTCAACCCAACATGGCAATGGGTCATGGAATATGAACTCAAAACAATCTCTTGTGTACATGGGGAGATAGATATACTTATCAAAGAGGAGTAGTGTCTGTATGCGATTGATCACAACTCAAACAGACACTAAAGAAGTGTAGTATTTGTAAAGATTGCACATGCCAATGATGACATGCATGTCACTTCTGAACAGTTTGGCAAACATAACATCCACGGCCATTATTGACTCAGTCGGTCTGGCCAGTACACTACCAGTTCCACACTGGATCTACCTATCTATCTGCCAAT